AGTAGGGATGCCTGTGCTGCCTTGAATTTAGACTTTCCTTCTGCTTCATTGCATTGAAGAAGACATCTTCAGTAACCTGGGGGCCCTTCCAGATTCTGCAGTTTGGAGTGTTCACTTCAATGGAGCCTTTGGAAGTATCTTGGAAAAGGTGTTCTCGACAAGCATTGGTTAATTTTTTGTTTTCTCTTCTCCATGGAAGGAAAGGAGAGTTAAATTTTGGAGGGCTGCTGGGCTAGGGGATGAGTATTCAAAATATCACCTTCTTGGGTTGCCTGGCACCTCTAAGGTAGATATAATGAAGCTTATTTTTTTCCTAACTTTAATTTAGCAAAAAAACCCACAAGTTAATATGATTAAAGATACAGCCAAAAGTGTTAATTTCAAGATTGTTCATTGAAGCATTTTTTATAATAATGAAGATTGAGATATAATATCAGTGGTCAAAAACTTATGACTCATTTTGATCATAGTGTTGTCGGTTTTTTGCACGGTTTTGCACCGTGTCCCAACAATCCCTCTTTTAGCTGTTAAAAATCATGTAGTAAAGAATATCAAGTGCATACTGTATTCTCAATTTAAAAATAATTACTGTGCATTTTCTACATATATATATATAGAAAGATGAATGAATATTTTTGTATAAATAAGCTTAATAATATTTTATGTATATTCTTCCCAATTTCAAATATATGATAGATTAATATAATATACTTATGTGTGATACATTATGTAAAAAGCCTAATAGATTTTCTATATAGTTCATGTTGAAAGGATATATGTTAAATGTTGATAGTGATTTTTTTTGTTTGATTCTTTAAAAATTGCGGGGTTTTGGTAAGGTAATGTTAGCCCATAATACTGTATATGACTTAGGGGCACATTTATAAATAGAGTGGATATCCCATGGTGTCTATCCCATGGTGCCTTCCAAAGCAACAATCGTTCTCCCAGAACAAATATGGCTGATTAGTCTCCTTGTCTAGACAAGGAGACCTAAGCCCTGAGAGATGCAGTGACGTGTCTGAGGTAACACGTGGGGTTCAGATGGCTTTTTCTAGCTCCAAAGCCAGTGTTTCTTTGACCATTCTATGCTCTCTCCTTTCCAAGAAGTCTGCCCTAAGCTTGTTCCACATTTCTGGCCTATTGAGCTCCTTTTTCACCGGGAAAGACAGGAAGGGAAGCTGTCTTATAGAGGAGGCAACCTCACTGAGAGTGTAGCAGAGCTCAGGCAAGGACTGATCCCTTTCTGTCCCCTCATAGCTTAATTGCAATGCTTTCCCACTTTATTAGTTTCCAGATTCTGTGCCAAGAGCTTTAAAAGGCAGGTAGGGGAGAATTCTCCTGTGCTGACCTGGCAGCCTGCCATCACCCCCAGAATCTGTTGCTTGCTGTTTCAGTAAGAGATCAACATTGAAGGCATTTTTCTCAGCAGTGAAATTTACATATCACAAGCCTGCTGACTGAAGCAGAAATGCTGGCTCCAGGGGTTGGGGTCCAGGGGTGGGGACAGAGCCCTTGTTGGGGGAGGGAGAAGGGAGCTTTTATTTTATTACTCTGGAATAAAAACATTGTGAGTAATGAATAAAATCCGAAAGCAGTAAATCTAGGACTCCAGAGTTAGGTGTGTAGCATGTCGGAGAACAATTTAAGCCTTCGCCTCTTCTGCAGAGGTGAGGTATTTGGACTGCCGTTCACAACCGAATTTCATTAAATGGTCTTTTAAGGGTTAGGATTACAAGAAGCCAAGTCCGGCTGGTTCATAATGATGATTTATGACTGTGTTGTCGACTCCCCGACCCTTCTGTACAAGGGGATGGCGAAAATACATAATTTGTTGCTCATTAACTCCCAGATCTGTCAGGGGTGCCCCAGAAGCTATGTGGTCCTAGAGTCATATGTCTGCTAAATGGCTTCAACCTGGGCCTGCCCTTGAAAATATGCAGTTGGTATTCTACAGCGGAAATTGTTGTTAATAACAATAGGAATAATAAAATTATCACGATGTCGTCCCCTGCGGGATTTTGAAGTTGAGACTCAACTGTCTGAACTCCTTGCTGTGGCACTCACTAGCCTTGACTCCTCCAGATACCTGTCATCCATAGCGCCCCATCTGTGGTAAGGGTACATCGTCACAGAGTTGCAGATTAAGAGGAACTGAAAAGAAAAAAATAAATGATCAAAAGATTGCAACTAATATTGGCATTGTTCTTAGGAATTTGAGGTGCCCCCTCTTTATGGCACATGAGAAGAAGAAGCATTTCATTAGCAATTTAATGTTTATAATCTATGACATTGAAAAGCAGTTTTAGAAAGCAGGGGTATTAGAGCTAAAAGGAGTTCTTGTAATCAAGTCCTTTCTCTAACCATGATTGTACCACAAGTTACCTGCAAGTCATCAGTAAACTCTTGGAAGAGATGCTAACTTGCAGTAGAAACCCACATGTTCTCGTTCAGCATAAAACGGAAGTCACACTCCAGTTTCGGATCTGTGGCTGTGGAATGGCAAGAGGGCCCGGAAGCAGCCTGAGGGCAGGGACAGGGCAGGGATCTCCTCAGGGCTGCAGGGTGCCCTGTCCTCTCCCAGTATTCTTCTGCCACTTACTACCTTTAGCTGGAGGGCGAGTGGGGAAGGTGGCATTGAAGAATCAGGGTCAGCAGTTTTCAAGGCTTGTATCATGGTATGTAGCACCCTCATTTTGCAAACAGAGACTCCGGCTTACCCCACATTTATTTAGTGAGGAGGTTCGCCAACCCTGGCCCTTTGACCCTTAGGTTAGTTTTCCTCCCCCTGCATCGAAAGTCCGTGAGCATGATTTATATATATATTTAATATAAATAAAGAAGAGTAAAAAAGAGAACATGATTGAGGTAATAACCATCTGGAACTTGTTAGCCTGTAAGGTTATAAAGGGTAAAAATATAAACAGGTTCAAAAGGGGAGTTAGACCACGAGTGGTAGGAAAGAATGCTGGGCGGGGAGTCAGGACACCTGGGTCTAATCTTTAGCTGTGAGTTAATTAGGACCTCAGTTTCTTCCATATATAATGGCCCCTTTCATTTCTGACTTGCTATGCTTCTCAGATTTTAATCTCTGTAACGTGTTATCAAAGGGCTCTCGGTAATGTTTAGAGGATATTTCCAATTTTGCAATAAGGCTAATGAGAGGACTCCTCCCTGCTTGCCTGCTCCCTTTCATTCATTCCTTCATTCAACACTCTGTGTCTGAGCCACTCCTGCTAGGCCAGCTCCAGTTCTCTCCGGGGCATCAGACCCAACGGGCCCTTGCCTTTTCTCTCCACTCCAGAATCACACTTACCATGATCTGGACAGAGGGTAGCGTTTAGGAATATCCAGCATTTGTAAGCATAGAATCGCTGTATAAATGTCTGCTGTGGAAGCTGTTCTCCCTGCATACCTGCTCATCCTCAGCTCTGCTGACACTTCCCACCTGCTCTAAACCCAGATTTTGGAGCCTCCAAGGATGTAGATTGGATTCCACACTTTGAAGCCTTCCTTTACTGTAAATGGATAACAAGGGACTTAAAAAGGGATGCCAGGATGTGTTGAGTCTGTTGCTTCATTGTGATGGAAAACATGCTCTCTGGCAGTTTGAGTTGAGAAGCTTCCCCTCTATGAGACTTAACCGTTTATATCTTTTGTTTTGTTTTGTTTTAAAGATTTATTTATTTATGCATACCGAACTGGGGTACAGGCCAGAGATTCAGGGGCAGTGAGCGAATTTACCAGAGACAGAGTGGGGAGCAGAACAGGCAGATCAATAAAGTACACTGCTAAGAGGAAGCAGCAGGTGAGACAAGAGAGATCTGCTGTGCCATGTGAGTCACTTCCAGGGCTGGGGATCGAACTCGCACTGAAGCTGCTGCTGCTGCTAGCTGCTCAGTGCTGTGCTTCAACCCATTGTACCACCAGGTTCCTTGGTTTTTAGACCAGTGTGCTTTTCCTCATCCCACACTGTTAAAAGGAAAATGTAAAGAACACGTTGCTTGAGCCAGATCATTTCCCATCCCCGGTACCTCATTGAAGCCAGCAACCCTGCAAACACGGTAGCCTCCTCCCGTGCAGAAAACACTGAAGCTTGGAGAGGTTGGGTCACTGCTGAAGGACACCGGTAAGGGTCAGAGCCCAGTGCAAACCCACTATTTGTTCTGTAGCATTCACTCTTTTCTATAGAGCCACCCCCCCCCCACCTTAATGTTACCACAAGTCTGAGGCCCTTTGTAGAGTTAGATCCTTGTTGGTGATCCTTTACCCCAAATTCCAGAAGCTTCAGATTTGCTCAGATCCTCTGACATCTTGGCCACTTGTAATCATGTCCTTGATTCTTTGTCTGTTTATTTTTTCTGTAGCTAAGTCTTTAGATTCTCTCTCCTTTTCTTTCTCTCTCTCTCTCTCTCTCATGTATGTGGTCATGTATATATAGTTACAGTGTATAGCTAGATATATTTGATTGTTTTTCTTTTATTCTTTAAAGATTTATTTATCCATACAAGAACTGGGATATAACCCAGAGATGAAGGGGGTGAGAGGATTCACCAGAGACAGAGGGGGGAGCAAAACAGGCAGATCTACTGAAATAAATGGCTGAGGGAAGCAGTGGGTGAGACAGGAGAAGTGTGCTGGGCCATGCGGGTCACCTCCTTTGCCGGGGTTTGAACTCATGCTGTAGTGGCTAGCAATAACTTTATACTGCTGAGACTTAACATGTTATACCATCAGGGAAGCCCCAATGGTATATTTTTCTTTTTGCAAAGATAATATAAAACTATGCAGGAATTTTCTGATCAAAGGAAATAATGATCATGTTAGTGCTTTGTTTGCCTGTTTGTGTATTTCTTAAATAGAAAATTGGGATTTTATAGATTGTACTCTGCAGTTATATACTGAACGTTCTCTTATGTCAGTAAATACCCTGTTGAACAGCAAGCAGTTTTGATGATGGGTTTTGACACTGCTTAATTCCTCTATTGGTTTTCTTTCAGATCATCACAGGGGAATTCTATCGGATCTATTACCTGAAGGAGAAGTCTCGGTCAACGATTCAGAATCCCTACGTGGCAGCCCTCTACAAGCAAGTGGGTTGCTTCCTTTTTGGCTGTGCCATCAGCCAGTCCTTCACAGACATAGCCAAAGTCTCCATAGGGCGCTTGCGTCCTCACTTCTTAAGTGTCTGCAACCCTGATTTTCGCCTGATCAACTGCTCTGAGGGCTACATCCATGCTTATACATGCAGAGGCGATGACAGCAAAGTCCAGGAAGCCAGGTGAGACACCTCTTCCCGTGGCCACCCCTTGGATTCGGGTAGTTCAGTGAGTACTCACTAAGCACCTACCAGGTGCCAAGCCCAGTGCTCGGCCGGGTTTACATGGATGAATAAGGCATAATCCTGTTCTTGAGTTACAGTCCAATGAATGAGACAGATATGTAAATAAGCAATGATATAGCATCGATAAGTCTGTCCATTCATTCTTTTGTTTATTCATGCATCCATGGGTGCCTGCTCTGTTCCAGGCAGTGTGTCTACAGCACTACCAAGGATGCAAAACTGCACACAGAGATCAGTGCTGCTCTCAAGGTCACAGTCTAGGGAGGGAAAACAGACAGACGTTTATCAGGGATGTGAATGTGGCCCTTCATGGCCCTCTCTTGCTTTTGCAGGAAGTCCTTCTTCTCTGGCCACGCCTCCTTCTCCATGTACACTATGCTGTATTTGGTGGTAAGTACCTTCCCTCTGATATCGGGGGGTCCAGCATCCAGTCTCAGCTCAGGTCCCCTCTGTGCAGAGCCCTCAGAGTGTTTAGGGACAGGCTTCGCTGTGAAATCCTGGAAAAAGAGATTAGCTGGAAAAAAATTGGTTTGTTCAGAGCCTTGCAGGCCTTTCCAGGCTTTTCTCATTTTTCAAATAACAAATAATATTTGCTGTGCCTGCTTGGTAAGGATTGTGTACCCCCATTTTGAAATTTTGAGTAGATAAAGACTCATAGTGACATTTTGGGAAGCCAAGCACTGTTTTTTGAGAACCCATCAATTCAGGTGAAGCTTGCAGGAACTATGTAATAAAAGAAGTAACATTATCTGTAGTACTGGGAAGAATTAGTTAAGGGAGTCACAAAGAATTCCAATAAGCTGCCAAAGTTTACCTGAGTCCCAGAACTGTCACTGAAATCCTAGCCCCCGATTAGATTCCTTTTGTGCTCGCCACACCAGTCTTCCATACTTCACAGGGTCTGGGAAAATCACTCTTATCTTACTACGCCAGGTGATGTTGAGTTTACAGTTCTGCGTCCGTGAGCACAGGTGCCCATCATCACTCCGTCAAGCAGGGAATCCTCATCTCTCTGCTTCTCGCCTGGGGAGACCCAGGCCCAGGGAGGCTGAGCAGGGTGGTGTTGGGGGCCTTTCCCTAATGGAGAGCCATGGGCTCCCATGTTGCCATGTCCAGTCAGACTTCCTGGAGATGCTGGGAGGTGTAGGTGCTCTGCGCCCCCGTCACCTGCTGCAAATAGTGGTTGACCGCTGCCTCTCTGTGGGCGAAGCTTGGTCCCCCTACAGTTTTCTGTCCTTTTGAATGAGATCCACATGATAGTATTAGAATGCTTCCAGCTGCCCTGGCAGGGTTCAGCGTGAAAGGCTCTGAGAGCTCCGACATAGCTCAGAGGCACAGAAGCTCTTTGGAAAAAGAACATTTTAATTTCAACTTACTTAAAAAATATAATTCAGAAGTGAAAAAAAAAAAAAAACAGCAGTAAGGTTTTTGTTTGTTTGGCCAATTCTTTTCTGTTACCTAGGATGCCTTCTAACAAAAGGTGGGTTGAACCTACGCAGGGACGTCATTTATTTACAAATAAGACTTTCCTCCACTCTCCATCTTTTGATAGTTGTTTTTATTTTTGCTTTGCTCCAAGAAAGGGTAATTCAGCAAATATATTTAATTTTCTGTTCCATTTTTGTATTTTTATTCAGGGCCGGAAACAATTTTGTAAAGGTGCTGGGAGGAGTGGGTTCATGTTTTTCATGTTCCTTCAGTTTCTTCCAAGAGAAAAATATTTGATAATTTGGATCCAGCACCTTGCACTGTGGGCTCCTGGCCACCCAAATTATAAAGGCACTGGTGTGTTCCTGGGATCTTATGGGTGCCAGACACTGTTAACTGTCATATTCCCTGTTTCCAGCTTAAAACAACCAAACCAACCCAAATCTAAGAAGTGAAGGAATAAAAGTTCCAAATCCTGTAAGAGACAGAAAAGTTCTTTGAAGCCTGGTATGCATGGTTTCAGCATTGTCGTGCGGTTTTTACATTATACTCCCACTACAAAAAGCAAAACCAAAGAGAAATTCTCTGCAGGATAAACTTAAAGAATGGAAGCTCCTGAGCCCAGTTTCAATTTCACCTGAAAGCCGCCTGCTTTCTTCAGATCTGCTTTAATGCAGGAGATCAGAGTTTGAATTCAATGCTTCCCTCCCGCCACCATACACCCCAACGCCTCCTTATTAGCTGTGATTATGGCAAAATATCACTGTGGGGATGATGGGTGAGAAGTGAATTTTGATTGAATGTTTATTTGCATCTCTCTGAGGGAGGAAAAACTTAGCTTTCATATTCCTGGGAGAAAAGGAGGAAGTTAGGAGGAGGAAAGGAAAAGGAGAAAGAAAAGCGCCTCCTTGATCTTTCATCCTTAAATATGTAGTTAGACATATACACAGGTGCACACACTGGCTCTCAGGAGCTCTGGCAAACAGACACTCAACATCACTCAGCATTGGTAATTCACAGATATCCACGCACATATCATGTCACATAGACACAGGGTTCCATTTGTAGCTCCAAGGTCAGCTTGCTGTGAAACAATCTCTGAAACTAAGTACAGCGCTCTCTGTCAGGGCCAGTTCTTATATGATAATACACAGAAATGTCAGCCCTGTGTCCACTGTGCAAAGCTTTCTATAGGAAGTGTGGAGAACACCATTGTGTCCAGGTTGCTGGATAATCCTGTCGGCTTTCCCCCACACCACTGTATGCATCTCATCTCAGTCTGGCAGGCCTGAGCAGGAGAGATCTGGGTCCCTGAGTGTGGTCTGGGCTCTGTTGGTGCAGCCAGTGACTCACAGCTTCCCTGGAGCGTTGGGGAGAATCACATTTAACCAGCTTTGCCTTTGGAGTCCAATGGAATTCTGGCCATGTGGAGTCACGAGGGGCTACTTAGCTTTGCAGCCTTGTCTGTAAAGCGGAGAGTCAGCTGTTTTGCAAAGTCATCGCACTTTTCTTCTCTAAGCCCCATCTTCCCCATCTCTGTCAAATGCAAGAGCTGAATTAGATGGTTTGATCTCTGTGGTTCTATTTCAAAGATGTTTGAACTTCCTAAGGGCTCAAAGAGAAGATGGAAAGCCGTCGGGGACTAGCTTATGCCCACATTACCATGGAGTTCAAAGGCATCGGCCACCAGAAGCACTGGCCACTCCTACTCCAGGCCTTTCAGCACCAGCTGCCATCTGGAGCCTCCCCTGGCTTTGAAGGGCACTCCATGTTGGGTTTTGATTTGTAAAATGGTTAGCTGGGGAAAGCCATGCCCCAAACACCAAATTATCTCTGGGCAAGGAAGCTTAAGGATGAGGTTAAGGCTTGTTAGAGATTAATGCAAATTCTAATAAGAAAAATCCCACAGCATGTATAGCATTAAGCAATGCTTCCTACCCTTGAACCCTGCTCTAAACCCCAGAGGACCACATCTGGATTGGCCTGTACCATGATCAGGGAAGACTTAGCTGCCTGGATGCATGGTTCTTCCAGGGCAGGCACTCTGCTACCTTCTGGGCTATTGTGATGTACCAGACCTGGGTCCGGCATTCCACTCAGTCCACATTCAATGTTCAGGTCCCCTTTAGTGAATGCCTATTATATACCACATTCCATGCTGGGGTGGGAATAGAGATTAGTAAAGCATGGCCACCGATCTTGGAGAATTGGATCTAGAGTAACGAGTAGACAGTGACAATAGTCTGGTACATTGCGCAGGAGGATGAGGAGGTTATTATGAAAGCATAGAATTGTGGCCCCCATGCCAACTGGAGTAAAGGGTGATAGAAGCCAGGAAATTCTTGCAAGGAAGGTGATACATGTGCAGATGGGAGTACTGGAATAACTACCTGTGTGCCCATGAACGGGAGGATGGTGATTTGGGAATTGCAGGTACTCGGTGCAGGACAGCCTTGGTGGCTGGTAGGGAGCAGTGAGTGGAGGTCACCAGAAGAATTAAGAAAGCCTTTGGAATTCTCCATCCCAGCTCTTCCTTTTGCAGCTCAGATTAAGCAGCACAAGGTCATGCCAAGGACCATGCTTCTTTTCCAGGACCACTTGCTAAGACGGTGAGAGGCTATGTGGTAAGGGACGATCTCTGCTGACTCTGCTGAGCTGTTCACCTCTGGCCTCTTGGCTGCGGTGCCTGTGAGAACTGCCCACGTGTCAGCTGGAGGGTTTGTCGGGTGCCAAGGAAACAGGGAAGTGACTGCACTCTGCTAGCCAATGTTCTCCAGTCTGTGGTTGTTAGTCATTGAGGTTTTGTTCAACATAGAGTCCTAAAGCAGTGGGTCTAGTATATCCATGAGGCATACCCACAGATCCTGGGAGTGACTGGTGAACCCCTCTGTAGGAACAAGACAGTTGTTTCAAGGGCATGATATTTTTTTCATCCGTCCATCTGTCTGTCTGTCTGTATGTCTGTCCGTCCGTCCGTCCATCCATCCACCCACCCACCCACCCCACCTACCCACCCTTCCACTCATTTCTATGATCTGCTCGGTTCTATCTAGTGTGAGCTCCCAGAGCCTCTGCAAGAACTCACAATTATGTGTGGAAAGTCTGAAAAGTAAATACCATTGACCTTTGGACAACATGGAGTTTAGGAGCACTAGCTCTGCAGTTGAAGGTCCACCTCTAATTTTTGACTTCTAAAAAATTTAACTGCCACAATGCCTGCTATTGACCTGAAGCCTCACTGACAGCATAAGTCAATTAACACATGTTTTCTGTGTTAGATGTGTTACAAGCTAGAGGAAAGATAATGTGATTAAGAAAATCATAATAAATATATATTTACACTACTGTACTGTTTTATTGGGACTGTAAGTTTATGTTGTCCATTTATAAGAAATCTGCCTTTCCGTGGACTCATGCTGTTTAAACCACATTGTTCAAGGGGACTGTAGTTGCAAAACAGTTGGATAAGTCCCCTGTTGGGGGCGGGGCTGAGGTTCTCATACAGCAGAGAGGGTTATTGCTGCTGCTGCTGTGGAGTGTGCTAGGGCAGGTGACAGGCTCTCCGTAGCCCAAGATCGAATGTTCAGCCATTCTCCTACTCTCACTCTTACAAAACTGTGTCCCTGACATGGAAATTAGTGTAGTATGACGGGTGAGTTAGAGGAGCCTAAGGTCCCTCATGTTCTGCACAGGTTGTCCATCAGTCTGCTGACCACTGCCTAGTCCCCATAAATTGCCACTTTCTCAAAAAAGAACCAGGAGCTCTGTGTGCAAAGCACTAATAACCTAAGGAAGCAGGGTAGCTCTGTGGTTAGAACATGGCCTTAGAAAGAGGTAAGTCAATTACCGCATTACTCAGAGCAAGTGACATGGCCTCCTGGGGCCTTGATCCTCTGTAGAATGAGGGCAATGTATCCACCAACAGGAGGATTCTGCCAAGGCAGGGAATGTCATTTACAGCA